GAACCCTCTCGTCTTTATGCACATCCCCGTTGATACTTAGGGAGAGAATGATGTTGAGAGATGAGGGGTGGCAAGGTTTCAGCACTGACTGACAAGAAGTGACGAGAAGGCAAAGTGAATGAGCGCTGGTAAATAAAAAGTGGGGACATTGCATTGCTAGCTAGTAGTTAGTCCCATGTCAGTGTTTGCTTCTGATGGGTAGCTAGCTAGGTGTTAGATAGTAGCTACACTAGCTAGCTGTGGGGAGTGTTAGCTAATCAGCTGCTATGTTGTAACAATAGCGGAATGTGATTTGCAAAATAGTTGTTTTGTACTTTATTTTAAAGCTAACGTACAATTAATTATCCGCAACTAGCTGGCTTTGCATGCATCGATACCTATTAAGCGAGCTCATTAACAGCTTATGTTTCCATGGCGTCAGCTGTTCGTGTAATGGCTTGACACCTGTCTGTCCAGGAGGAACCGAGAAAATGGCAGGACATGACATGTTGGATTGGCTCTACAGAGAATTAAACTATGTTAATCTGGTGTGTAAAATAGCTATTGTGCTGTCGATTTATTTCATACAAGGCAATAATTCTCTTTTGTTAATGGTTTATTAGACCCTAATCCATGATGAAGTGGCTGTGGAGACACTACGTATCACAAAGCCTCGGATAGTGTTTCCTGTATCAGTTTCATGACCGGGCCTGGTACTGGCCACTTTTTCCACTCCAGGATCAGCACCAGAGGAGGAGCCATGGAGCAGGAAATATTTGACTTACATATAAACATTAGAGAAACCATCATCAAATCAAAGCAAGGAAATCATCTATAAATTTTCAACCAACTTCTACTATCAGGCTTTAAATTTTTTTTTGGAGGGGGGGTGACCTCAACCGTTGTTGTATAAGCAAAGAGCATGAGCAAGACAAATAATAAAGTCTGAGAAGCAGAGAAAGAAAGCAGCAGTGTCACAGAATAGTGCCTTTCACCTTTTCCTGCCATCAAAACACTAAAAAAACATTCTCTCCTTCCCAAATATAAAGCAGCTGTTCATGATGCTCTGCTCCCTGTTCTTTTCACTTTCCTCTTACAGGTGCATGAGGCCTTCGGGTCCTGCTCGGAGAGCCCATGGAGCCAGACATTGTGCCCTTGCACCCCTCGTCCCCCCCTCCACTGGATGACTATGGTGATGAGGAGGATGAGTTTGGGGACTTTGGGGGATTTTCTGTCACAGCGCCCTGCTCCTCTCTTGGTTTTGCTTATTCTACTGCGCCACCATCCAGCCACAGACGGCCTTCTCCTACAACAAAGCCAGCCACCCATCAATCCAACTGCCACCCAGCTGAACAGTCCCAACCTGCATCCATTGTGAGCTCAGTGTCTGGCAGGGGCCAGACAGAGGTGCAAGGGCAGGACTGTAATGTTGAATCATCTTTGCACCTCCCAAATGGATATGCTGAAATAGATCACAGCTCTGAGACCCATAGTGCTGCTGTATTGGGTGCCTGCTCTCCCAAGGAGGAAACAGGATTTGCTGATTTCACCGTGTTTACAGAGCAGGAAGCACACCCTTGGTGCTGTGGCTTCTCTCCCATAGGCAGTACAGAGCAGTGGGGTGGTGGAGTGGATGGGACAAATGTGGGTGGACAAATCTGTGATCCAGGACAAGAGGTTGTTATGGACTTTGAGCCCGGACCTCATACGACTAAAGAAAATGTTTGTACTAAGGTCGAGCACTGTGAGAAAAGAGATACAGCGCTTATGCAGCCATCTCAGGACCATCATCAGCCTCAGGAAGCTGCAGCAGCAGCAATGGACTTGCCATTTGCAGAGCCTTATCCTGCGGAGGAGGATGAAGGCAAATGTGGGGACAGTTGGAGGGAAAGGAGGCATAGTTTTAATTCTTTGCAAACCTCAGAGGCACAGGGGGATACAGAGTCAGAAGAAGATAGAGAAAAGAGCATTTCTACTATTCCCCAAACATTCAGTGCATATGAGTCTGCTTCAGAGGACCTAGCATCTTTCTGTGATGATTTCTCATGTGAGGGTGCTTCTGTAGATTTGGAACCAAATGTTTCATCTCTTGGTCTAGAGGATCAGACTGACTGGGACCAGACTGATGATGAGGATGAAAACCTGGGAAGCTACAGATATTGTGACTCTTTTGTCAATAACAGCATGGCGAGTCTCAGTCAGGCAGAGAATGGTTTTCATCATTGTAACCAATCAGCAATTCAGGAAACTACTGCTACCTCCAACTTCTTACAGTCCAGAACCCATACAGTAGACAAATCTGCAGATTTCAAAGATGGTAGTTTTGCGCAGCACAGTGAACAGGAACATGTCCAAACAGCTGAGGTAAGGGTGCAGAGTCTAGGGAGCCTCCCACCGAGTGACAGCTTTGCAGATTTCTGCTCAGCGCCCACACAAGAGGATGAAGAGGGGTCGTGGGTGGACTTCAAGGATCAGATGTTTCAGGAGGATGGAAAAACTTGGACACAGTTCAAAGAGCAAGTTAGCAGCCTGCACACTGAGGAGGAGCAGGGTGGGGCAGGACAGTATGGAGGTTTAAGGCAAAAGAGCTCTCAGGTGGGACACATTTCACTGGTTCCTCTTTATGATAATGATTAGCAGATGATTAGCCACAGAAAAAGTGTACAGCTTCTGCGCTCTTTTGTGTGTGTGTGTGTGTGTGTGTGTGTGTGTGTGGTCAGGCATCGCTGTCCTGCTGTGTCCAGCAGCTACTCCGGGCCAGTTTCCCAGAGGCTGTGGTCCCAGCCGTGGATGGAGAGGAGGAGTTGTTCAGCCTCGGTGCTCTGCTTCATGGTCGACACCTCCCTGAGAGCGAGGAGGAGGAGAAACCAGAACTCAGCGGTGCTCAAGGGAGAGGATATTCTCCAGAATTAGGAAGGTGGTTGTAATGACGGTAGACATGTTATCATGTCATTGACATTTTAATATAAAGAGAACCTGTTTTACTACTACTTTATTTTGTGTAAACATAAATAATAATTTGTGTTAATACACAACATATCTAGACACGTTGTCAGTAATACCAGTTTGCATTGGTTGTTAGGAATGGAGAGTTACAAATTAATGCTAAATGGTGCTATTTCAGATGTGAGTGTTGAAAATGTTGCCTGTGTAAGGATTTTTGATTTTCTTCCTTAGCTGTTAACATCTTCCCTGAATGTCTTATGCTGCTCTATATTTTCTCTCAGGGCTCAGTGGGATCTGTGGTGGCAACATCAGGATGTTCACAGTGCAATTGGCCTCCAGTTTCAATGGGAAGGTTCCCATGCAAACAGGACTCTGCTCAGGTGCCTCGGTGTGGACACAAGAAACATTGTGAGTTTGAGAAAACTACTATTTAGTGGTAATCTGAACAGCATCTACACCAGTAACCGAGTAAACAAGCTGAAACTGCTACTAGTTTAGTGACTGATCCATGTACTTGACTTGCAGCGTGCTGAAGTGAAATAGGCCTGAAAACTTGGGTTGGCAGAATAACAATCTGTCAGAGTTGTGTTGGTTTCTTGTAACAGTGAGATCACTCTACTGTTGCACTCTTTTTAAGTTGCTCTCACTGACTGTATAAAATATGGATGCCATGACACCCCCAGAAGTGAAGCCACTGTGAGTCGATCGCCCCCTGGTGCCTGGTTGCTATATAGGTCACAAATCTTGCCTCCTCCATGTTAGCAGATGGGACATAAGCCAAACTAAAAACTCAAAGTACAAATCAGATAAATTTTCCCCAGAATTTCACTTCTGTGATTTTCAGTAGATATTGTCATTCTGATGACAAGTGGTCATTTTTCAGGTAATGTTGTTTTTAATAAGTTTTTTGATGATATGAAAAGGGGTGTATTTTGGTTTGTTTGACTGGTGGTCTGATAAGCCCCTTTTCCATCGCTGGTACTGGCTCAGCTTGACTCGACTCCAGCTTCTTAGTTTTCCACTGCAGATAGTCGCCCCCTCAGTGTAGTTGATTGTCACGGTGATGGCGCATTATGCTGCCCTGAATCAGTGCTGAACTGTAGGTCTTAACAGAAGCATCCAAGTTTTATTATTTGTAGCTCAACAATGTACTGCAAATGTCTACACTAAACCTAAAAAAATAACCTAAACCTAAAGTCAAATGTATCTCGATTGTCTGCTTTTATTTATTGCATCTTTGCCTTCTGAAAGGTGTTCATTGGCATAAAGAAGCAGCCAGTGGCTGTGCCTGCGTTTGCATCTGGCCTGGTGAGTCAGCTCTAAGAATGTGAACTACGTTAACTTGCATTTATAGGGAAGATGCACTGTGATGTAGTTAGATGACCAGTTTCTGTGGTGTGTGATAGACAGGAGAAAGTGTTTATTGTGTGAGTACAGCATTAGTCATGGCAGCTTCAGTGCTATAAAAAGACACTGTTTAGAATCCGTGTTCAGTGTTTTCATTGGTGTCACCATTGACAGTCATGTCTTAAACCTGGCCACTTTTTTAATTTCATATCACATTTTTATTATTCAACAGGGAATGCTAGAGCCCACGAAAGACTCCGTTACAGCTGTATGTTCTCCACAGCACACAGCAGCTCCAGGGCCTACAGGCAAACTGGACCCCTCGCGAGGTTTAATGCAGGTAAACTGATCCATTTAAGTTGACTAATTTAAATGACACCAGAGCATAACACTGGAGCACATTGAAGCTGAAATACTCTTATAAACCATGTTAAATCTTCTTACTGTAGGAGGAGCTGCCTTCCAGCCAGCTGGACTGGAGCAGCCACGGCCTTAGCAGCTCTCAGGACGGTATGTCCCCTCGCCGAGCCCCTCACTTCTGGGGCCGGAAGTAGACTACCAGCTATCCCCTTAAGTGGCTTCTTCTAATAAGCCAAAACATTTGAGAGTTTCCTCCTCTGCACTCCTCCTCACTTCCTCCAGGGCAGGTCTGCTCCTTTTATGTGTTTACACCGTTTCCCCTCTATTCACTCATTAGCGGGTCAACACAGCAAATGTGAAAATAAGATGTGATGTTATTCTCATGAATGGCACAGTTCGATCCAGTGCTGAGAAATATTGTTGTCATTATGATTTATTCAAACAAGAAAACTCAAGGACATAACATGCAACAAACCCAAAACTGGGACCAAAAGTAAAACAGAAATATTGTCCTTCAGCCCAAAACAACTGCAGGGGAAACACTGTAATCACTCTTTTTCTCCTCCACTGTCTTATCTTTAGCTGCGGTCACCTTTAGTGACAGAATTTATCTCAGTATTTATCAGTCATCTTTGTCTTGATCCAGTTGTGATGGGTTAAGGCTACTGAAAACAAGAAGTTGCTACTGTTACTGTGCCACTTGCCCCAGAAGTATTTATCTTTCAGCTACAGCACAAAACATCTGAGGGTAATGCTAAATTAATGTTACATTAATAATAAGCACCAAGCAGTGAATCCAGACACCTCATCAGTTATGGCCATAATGTGTACTAAGTTTATGGATGCATTTATTCTAAGGACCATTTTTATTTATTGGTGGCTACTGTTGAACTCCTAACTCTTCCATCTTAACGCGGAGGTCAAGCCCAGTACACTTGGACTTAGCATATAAATCTGACAGTATTATTCAGTTTTTGGTATTATATCATCCTGAAGTGTCTTTACATTTTTATGGAACTATTTATTTGTTCATATTTGTGCCCTGGCTGTCCTTGCATCTTTGGTAAAGAGAAAAGAAAATACAGTAAAAAGTAAATGATATAGATCATAATTGTTATTTTTTTTGCTCAGGAACATTTTTGTAATTAAATTTAATTAGATTTATTTCAGGAAGGATTTTTTTATAATTTAACCTAAAACTTGAATTCTAACAATAACCATGAAGTAGCTCTAACCAAAACCAAAACAAAATCACAAATCAAAAGAAAAAAGTATAGGACAGATGTTGGCGTGTTGCTAGTTGCGTTACTTTTGCATTGCAGATAAAGGGTTAATTGTTGGCTTAACACTTAAAAACATTCATGATCTGTGTTTGCATGTCAGAACAGTGACAGACCACAAACTCGGCTGAACGATTACTGTATATTGCTTCTGCATGTGTTGAAGTTGGTGACATGAAAGTAGAATCACATGTAATAAACTGACTTTTTATCATAGTCAGATGAAAAATAAGGTTTCAAGGAGTCTGTTTACTTTTCACCTACAGATATGTGTAATATGTGGCATACTCTTAAGGATGTGCTAAAAGAATGAAAAGCTAGGTGGCTAGTTTAAAATGACTGAAATACCTGAATTAGTAACTTATTTACTTTTGACTGTAGGAATTGTTTGGTACTGCACTGTAGATGTGACAGCCTGCAGACGTGGTTGATTTCTAGCATGAGGCTGACACATTTTTTGTTACTGGATGAGGATGAGCAGCGAATAAACCCACTTTATCATGAATTTCCTAGTTGAGCTGAGGCTGCAGGTGGAGACGACACTAAGACATTTAGATTCAATAGTCGAGTTAGAAAAGTCTTTTTACCCGTTCTGTGTCCATGTTTGACATCATTTATGTTCAAGTTTGAATTTCACTCTCGAGCCATTGGCATCATCAACTCGAACAGAACAAATGAAGATGATGATGTGATTTCTTGCATATTATTACATATATTGTTGCAACAATCAGGCGCACACAGCAGAAGGCAGTGTGTTCTCTGTAGATGGTCCTGAATGCAACAAAGGTTAGACCATTTTCTGCATTTACTGTAGGAACAAAAGGAAATAATTTAAGTAATTTAACGTCAAACTTTGCAACCAGCCATTAATACAAAGGGGCGTACGTTATATATTTAAAAATATTTGTTTTTAATCTTACCTGAAATCTGTCATTGGGGTTTTAATTTATTCTGTTTGGGGATGACTGTCATAATAGATAGGAATGTTGTGTCATGGTTTCACAATCACAACTTGAAAGAATCATGACACAGTATAAGGAGCTGTGATTATGTAATGCCGCTTTTATTTATTTGTATTTTTTTACTCGCTGTTCACTGAAGTATATGTGCAGTGTAAGCTTGCTGAATAGGATAGAGGAGTGTTTGATTCCAAAGCATTTCAGCTTGAAAAAAAAGAAAAGTCACACCTGAAATCCACAGGTCAGTATCCAGTGCCAGTCAAAAAATGCTCCTACAACGTTTGTGTAAAGCCCTGGGTTGGTTGATAACAGCAGTTACAGTATTTCATCATGAGTTGTGCCTTTTTGCCAGCAATCCTTTTCTAAAACATAGTTACAAACATACTTGTTTTCTACTTGTGAAATTCTTTTTTGGACCTATAGTTTGGCAAAAATATTTTTTCATTTATTTATTCAGATTTTCTGCTCAGACTTATGGGAAATCCTTGTAAATACTGAAATAAATCGGTTGATCAATTCTGCTTTGTTTTGTTTCTCTTCCCTGAGCTCTTATTTCCTACTGAAAGCTGTAACACTTGTCCCTGTGGTTAAAAGCAAAGTTGGAGGACTCAGACAACTCACTGCTTGGGTTTTGTGTCTTTTTTTTTTTTTTAACAAACCAAAGGATATATAACTGATATATCCTATACACGATTTGGTCCACACTTTAAATAAATGGAGTGACATTTTGGATGTATACTGTAGTTCAAATTCACAGGTCTTGGAACTAATATTTCATGTTTGATAAACTTGTATTAAGCCTTTCGTGTCTCCAGAGGGAGCTCTGTGAAATCTGATGAACTGCCTTTGCTGGCATGATTTGGGTCCACTTGTTCTTTTGGAGGGAAGAGACACTGCAAATGAATATGAACTTACTCTGATCATCTTTCTAAACATTTCTATCCTGATTGGAGTGGTCTCTTCCAGTATGAAAGTGCCTCCATCCATAGGGCATGAGAGGGGTCATTGAATGGGTTGGTGACTATGAAAATGATGTGAATCATATGCTATGGCCTTCACAGTCACCAGATCTCAACCCTGTTCAACACCTATGGGAGTTTGGACCGATGTGATAGACAGTGCTCTCCACCACCATCATCCAAACACCAAATGATGGAATATCCTTTGGAAGAATGGTGTTGATCTCTCCTGCAGAGTCCAGAGACTTGTAGAGTCAATGCCAAGGTGCATTGAAGCTATTCTGATGGCATATGGTGACCCAGCACCTTATTAAGACCTTTCATTTATCACCGGTTTTGTCTATGAATGAATGTCACTTTCAGCTTTTTCTCATTAGGGGTCGCCACAGCGAATTGTCACACTGATGATTCGAATGTATGCTTCCAAAATTTAGCAAGTGTTGCATGCATATAATAAAATGACAGGCAAAGTTGCAACAAACAGCAACAAGATGCTGGTACTGTTTGAGCCACATTTTGTGTTAAAAATGTTGCTACCGTGTGACTCTCTGTGATTTCATGTGGCAGGATGTCTTGTTTGAATATAAGAGGAAGTTGGACAACAACAGCTTTCAGTGTTCTGCTTTCATTGTCTCAGTAGAAGGAGATGATGTTCATTCTCCTTTTATGAATAACAAATCCAGCTTCCTCATCCCTCCTCACCCACTGTATCCCCTTGCTAGTGCAGGCTGCTCTACCCTCTACCTGGATTATTTTGGTCCTGAGGAGGAGAGCAGATCCAGTAGCAACAGTCCACCTCCAGGTCAGAATGTGAAACTGCAAAAAAGTAGATTTTGTACACTACTGTCATGTTTTGTTTTATGAGAAACGGAGCAGCCACCACTCTATCATGATGACACTTGCACTAAATAATATATCAGGTATTTCAGTATACTATGCTAAATGTAGCTTGTGGGTGTGTCACTCTTCTTGACGCTCAACGTGTGCTTTGTCTCTTTTGTAACATGCTTGTTATACACATTTGCGTATAAAGGTGTTGACCCTGAGCTGTATGAGTTGACCATCAGCAAACTGGAAACCAGTGCTAACCGCTGCCACCTAGAGGACACTTTGAATTGTCTGATGTCTGCTGCAGTTAAGACCAGTACTTCAGTCAGGTCAGCTCAGGTGTTGGATCCATGTACTTTGCATAAGATTCAATATCTACTTGTCTTCTGTGTGTATCTTATCTTTTTTAAATGCCCACTCTTTGTGTGTGTGTTTCTTATTAGGAACCCTCAGCAGGATGAAGAGCTGACTATGGAGGCTAGCAGGGTGGTCACTGGGCTTCCTAACCTATCCTTCATGATGGCCAAGGTCCTCATGTTCCCAAGCATCCTTTTACCCAGAGAATGCAGTGCAGAGTGATTTTTTGTTTGTGTGTCCACACACATTTACACTAGATGATTAGAGCATTTGGACAAAGTACTTCACCTACGGGAGTACTCACTCTTAAGACTAACAGTTAGCTCTTTGTCGGTAGAACAGCAGAATTCCAACTTATGCATCAGTGTCAGTGTACAATCACCTGCAAAGTGAAAATCAGCTGTTTTAATCTTGTTTATTTTACACCAAGGCAGAGATGGAGGTAGCAGAGATGAGGATGTTGAGGTTCTCTTTAGGAGTGACCAGGATGGACAGGATTAGGAATGAGCACATCAGAGGGACAGCTCAGGTTGGCTGTTTTGGGGACAAGGTCAGAGAGGCCAGATTGAGATGGTTTGGACATGTGCAGAGGAGGGATAGTGGTTATATTGGTAGATGGATGTTGGAGATGGAGCTGCCAGGCAAGAGGTGATGAGGAAGGCCAAAGAGGAGATATATGGATGTGCTAAAAGAGGACATGAAGTTAACTGGGGCGAGAGTAGAGGATGCCGAGGATAGAGTTAGGTGGAAACAGATGATTTGCTGTGGCGACCCCTAACGGGAACAGCCGAAAGAAGAAGATTTTACACCAAGTCTTCTTGAAGTTGAGTGTTGTGATTTATTTTGATTTAGTCTGACCCATACATACATTCACTCTAGAGAAAACTCACCAACTTAAATTGTTTAATTATTGGTGTGTATTTTAATTACAAAAATGCTGCCTTGTTTTTGATTATTATTCATCTAAGTGATGGGAAGAATGTAATTTCTGGATAGTATGATAAGTGGCCTTCATAAAGATGTGTGAAACATACATGAGTATTTTTCTTTTAAGAAATTTT